CAGGATTCCATTATTTATTTGACATATTAGAGAGATTATTATAGTTATGTAGATTTGGAAGAGAGCTAGAGAAGCACAGAAAAACTTAAAACATTAAATTTTATTTCTAAACCCATGGTTGGGTTTTATTGATTATACAACATAGTCATTAGTTTTAGAGATTATAGAAATGCCAGTTTGGGTTTCATTCACTAATGGAAGTCATGAGTGATTTTCTGTTGATAAAATGAACAGCACAGATTATTAGAAAGCATTTAATTTCAACAAAATTCATTTTAAATATCAATCTTTGAGTATGTACCACTAACCATCGATCATCTCAGGGAAAACTAATTTGAAGACCTGTTTCTCTCCAAAACATTGCTTCAAAGAGTAATAAAAATGAAACCTCAAATAGCTTTTCAAAATGTTGCATCATTTACTATAAGTCATCTTGGACATGAGTGTCATTATTATAAACATTGCTCAAAGCTACTGGAAATTTACTGTGATACCGTTTAACTAAAGGAATGTTGTTTTGGCCTTCCAGATAAATCTCTATTTGCAAAGGGATTTTGAAAAAGATAAGAAGCCACGTGACAAGTCATATCAGGATGCAGTTTTAGAAGATATTTTTAAGAAGAATGACCGTGATGGTGATGGCTTCATTTCGCCCAAGGAATACAATGTGTACCAACACGATGAACTATAGCATATTTGTATTTCTAGATTTTTCAGCTATTTACTGTACTTTATGTATGAAACAAAGTCACTTTTCTCCAAGTTGTATTTTCTGGTTTTCCCCTATGAGAAGATAGTTTGATACCCCCGATACATATGATTTTGGTACAATAAATGCGAGGCTGTTTTGCAAACTTGCAGGAATGGTATGATTGTGTTTCCTATTGCTTTATTTTGTAAACAAGAATTGTAGCAACATGAAACAGACCCCTGTGTCCCAGTGGGCACTTTTTTCCCTTCAGGATGTAGGAGGTGTAATATGTTAGAAACTACACGCTCTTCCCAACTTTAACCTTGCCAGCATGTGTAAACATGTTATATCCAATTGTTTTACACATTTTAAAAGTTAAAGTGCCTCATATTTTAAAATATTCAGTAAGGACCCAGGAAGTAGCATTTCACTTGTTTATACATTTTATGTATTTATTTATTCATTTTGAGGTGGGATTTCGCTCTTGTTGCCCAGGTTGGAGTGCAATGGCACAATCTTGGCTCACCACAACTTCGACCTCCCAGGTTCAAGCAATTCTGCCTCAGCCTCCCAAGTAACTGGGATTACAGGCATGCACCACCATGCCTGACTAATGTTATATTTTTAGTAGAGATGGGGTTTCTCCATGTTGGTCAGGCTGGTCTCAAAACACCTGACTTCAGGTGATCTGCCCGCCTCAGCCAAAGTGCTGGGATTGCAGGCGTGAGCTGCCATGCCTGGCCTATTTATAAATTTTATAACATTATGAAGAGGATATAAAAATCCTAGAACTAAAGAGTCTTCATTTGCTATATGTGGAGGAAGAAAGTTGTATATCTCTGTTCCACAAAGAACGTCAACAAAGTCTCTGTACTTTTTGTAAGCTTCTAGCCTTGGGTATTTTCCAATGGGAAATGTTTAAAGATATTTGACCAAACCAAAGACATTTTGCCTCTTATAGCAAGCATAAAGTATCTACTGCCTGGATCTTGTATTCCTTCAGACATTATTATAAATTTGCAACTCCTCTTCCCTCTTGTAAACCTTTATAAGATATCTGCCACCCCAAGCTTTTGTCTTGATAGTTTTAAGTTGATGCCATGGCATTTCTTAGTTTCCGTTCCCTTTCTCTAGGTATCTCTTCCCTTATTTCACCTCATTTCCCATCATTCTTCTCATTAATGAGGAATGATCATTACAAATTGGTATGCTGTCAAATGTTTATAAATGTGCCAAACAAATGAGGATATACAATGCCTTAGCATTTCTGTGTCATGGCCAAGTTTTGATGTCGTATGACTTGCAAACAGTATGTAACAGATGCTGTAGAAGATCACGTTGGTACCAAAGAAGGGGCACATGTCTACTGGAACATAGAAGATTTTGCATACTGCATGATATGGTTAGGCTTTGTGTTCCACCCAAATCTCATCTTGTATAATCCCCAATAATTTCCGTAATCCCCACATGTCAATGGAGTGACCAGGTGGAGGTAACTGAATCATGGGGGCAGTTTCCCCCGTGTTGTGCTCATGATAGTGAGTTCTCATGATGTCTGTTTTGTAAGTGTTTGATAGTTCCTCCTGCGTTCATTCTCCCTCCTGCCATCTTGTGAAGAAGGTGCTTTGCTTTTCTGCCTTCCACCATGATTGTAAGTTTCCTGAGGCCTCCCCAGCCATGGGAAACTGTGAGTCAATTTAACCTCTTTCCTTTACAAATTACCAAGTCTTAGCAGGCCAGGCATGCTGGTTCATGCCTGTAATCCCTCACTTCACTTAGGGAGGCTGGGGCAGGCAGATCACCTGAGGTCAGGAGTTCGAGACCAGCCTGACCAACATGCAGCAATTCCGTCTCTACTAAAAATACAAAATTAGCCGGGCATAGTCTGTAATCCCAGCTACTCGAGAGGCTGAGGCAGGAGAATGCTTGAACCCAGGAGGCAGAGGTTGCGGTGAGCCGAGATCGCACCATTGCACTCCAGCCTGGGCAATAAGAGCAAAAGTCCATCTCAAAAACAAACAACAACAACAAAAAAAAACAAATGACCAAGTCTTGGGTGGTTCTTTACAGCTGTGTGAAAATGGACTAATGCACTGCATATATAGGAAAGTATGGTCAGACAGTAAATGGCTCTGTTCAAAATAATTGAGTTCCAAACAAGTAAAGATTTTTCTACCTTCTTAAACTTGCTCTTTCGAAACTATTATTCATCCTTTAACTCCTTTAGACTGTCAAAAATTCCATTTAAAGATATAGTGGGCTTTCAGATGAGTAGGTATAAAAAAAACAAAAGTATATATAGGTGTAAAACCACCATGAGATTAGTAAATAACACATATGGCTAGCACATAATTTGACACCTCATAAAACAAAAATCTGTACTATCTTTTTCTTCCTCCCAATATTCCTTCATTTCTATGCTCAATTTTCTAACACTTTCTCATGTGCTTAATCATTTACTCTTTGATTGCCTTCCCTCAGGAAGACCTGCTTTGTTGAAGTAAACTAAGTAACTCGATATTCTTTATTTTGGTTTAGAACCTGTCTCCATTCTCTGTATCCATATTAATAAGTCACTCTATAATCTAAACTTTGTAATTCTAATCTTTTTGTCCCATTATTTTTCATACAAAGTGCTTTTAAACTTGTTTTTAAAAAATGACAGATAATGCCACATGAACAGGGAGATGATTCATTCTAAAACTTGCATTTAGTAATTAAAAATAAATTTCTAATCATTCTACATACAGTATAGTGTAAAGTATTTCATATCTCCATGATTACTTTGTCTCAATATGCATATATATGGCATTGAATGCCATGACTACATTTTGAGTTCTAGAATTTTAACATTCATTTTACAATTATTTCAATAAAGGTAGATTGTAAGTAATTTAGGTTGTGTATGAAAAATTCATTTTTCTTAACAGAGTAGATTAAAAAGATCTTTCAGAACTGAATATGTTAAATGTTTTAAACATTTTCAAAGAAACAGACATGTCTTATCTGCCTTAACTTTACAATGACAGTAGTGAGTTTTATGAAGACAAAACTCGTGAGCACACGCATATTGTAGAATAGCAGCCCATTACTACTATCAGTCACCTTGTTAACTGTGTATACAAAACCCCATGCTGAGTTGAGTGTACTTTCAATTTGATACTGCAATTAAACATTTAGGATTACTTTAAATTATTAACACATTTTTCTCATTTTACCAGACCAAAGGCAATATTTGAAGCACCATAAAGTTGCCACTTGTGCCCTCGTCATCATATGTTGAATTGAAAGTTGCTTGAAAATAAAATTGATATTTAGAAAAATCTCTTGATTATATAAAAAGTTATCTAAAATGATAGACTACATCCCAAAAATGATTAAGTGGCTGGCAAGTTTATGAAAGAACATCTCTATTCTGAATTTTATATGTAAATCTTTTTTGATATAAACAATATTATTAATTTTCATGACAGCCTAAGAAATAGACACTATTGTCATCGTCTCTACTTTAAAGACGGGGAATATTGTTGGGAAACACTGCAAAGGAGAAAGGATTTACAGAGTGCCTACATAAATTGGTTATAAGTAACAGATAAATAAGGAACAACAAACTGCAGAAGGCCGCAGGAGGCCTCTAAGGAGGAAAACCTCTCCATGCCTCATGATCTGGTGCAGGGTGACCTCGGCTCTGCTACCATAAACATTGTGCTCAAGGACATAAAATCCCTCGTAGTACTGTGACGTAGCCAGACTTGTAGGCTCTTTGGAAGGCCCATATTCCACCAGCTGCACATAAATAATAAGTTAAAGATAACCACATGTTCTTGTTTTGTGAAACTCCCAAACTGCCACTGTTATCAATCCTTAGGATGGTACACCAGTTCCAGCTCACCGATTCATCCCACCATCACTACACCCCTACCCTATAGATCAAAGTGACTTTAATCAATAAATAGTGTGAATGAGCAGAGCTCGGGGCCTTCACTGTCACCTCCAGGGTAATCAAGTGATGTCCCCCTGGTCCCACTTTTTCTCTTTATCTGTCTTTCTCATTCCTTTGTTGCTGCTGAACTCGGGATACCTGGGGTGATGTCAGGCTGGCTCCCTACATTCTGGTGCCCAATGTGGGGCTCATGGATCCCTACATTCTGGTGCACCAACATGACAGGCTCATGGATTCCCTACAGAATATGATACCCAGACAGGTTAATTTCTTTTTTCTTTTCTCATTTTAATTTAACTCATCCAAGCAAACCTAGATAATTTAGGGAAGGTTTGTGGCACAACTGCATCTAAAACACCAACATGGTATATTCACTTTTCATTTTATTTCATCCTCTTGTGCCAAATATCAAAACAAGGAACTGCATGAAGTCTCACATACTTCTGACCATCCACAGAACACTGGAAGCACCCATAAACTGTCTCCCTTTTGAAGTTCCCCATTCCACAGAGTATGCAAGGCCCTTTGGGAATGTTGTGATTAAGTAAGTTAACTCGGATATGGGTCCCTTCTTTGAGTGAAATATCAGTCATGCTGAGAGGTTTATCATAGTAGTCAGTAAAAAGATCATCCAAGTAAAGCTGTGAACGAGAAATGACATCCATCACTCTTCTATCTAAAAGGACAAAAGCAGAACAGAAATGTGTTAGAACTCAAAATGAAAAATACATAACGCAAATAGCTTTAATAAATATGTGAATCCACTCCTCATGAAATAATTTGGCTGTTTTTTAATCTTTTTTGAGACAGGATCTGGCTCTGTCACCCAAGCTGGAGTGCAGTGGCTCAAACTCCACTTACTACAACCTCTACCTCTGAAGCTCAAGTGATCCTCCCACCTCAGCCTCCCAAGTAGCTGGGACTACAGGTGCACATCACCACAGCCAACTATTTTTTTTTTAATTCTTTGTACAGATGTGGTTTTGCCACATTGCCCAGGCTGGTTTCAAACTTCTGAGCTCTAGCAATCTGCCTGCCTTGGCCTCCCAAAGTGCTGCGATTATAGGCATGAGCCACCATACCAGCCAGACTTTTAAATTTAAATATTTCCTTAACAGATGGGATTACTGAACAGATAACCTCATGTGTTAGGCCAGGAAACAAACAAACAAAAAACATAGTACTCCTCAATGGACATACTTCTTTCAAATAGTATATTTCTCAATCTGTAGAGCAGTGCAAATGTTGCTGTTTCTTCCCTTTCAAATCCTCCTTTTGACACTGAAGTGACACAAAGGTCTACAAAAAAAATTTTAGAAGACGTTATAACTTAATTCATATTTTATTGTTTGATGAGGTGATGAATTTTGGTACTAATCATTCATTGTGTTTTTTTAAGTTAACTTTTACAAACTTTTGGAAAAGGTAACATTCACGTGGTACAAAATTCATAACAAAAGGAGATACAGTGACAGATAAGTCTCTGGCCCACCCTGAATCCTGCCACACACAGTCTTCTACCTCAGGGGCTCAGGGGCACCCATTGTTTAAGTTTCTTATGCATGCTTCCAGAAATACTGCATATATTTTACAAGCATAAAGGAAGATGTATGTATACATGTAGGTATTATTTATGCCCAAATAGTTACATATTATACTCAGCTCTTTAAAAATATCTCTTAAAAGTATTATATGCTCTAATGGCTTCATAGTATTCTGTTATAAGGATGCATCATTATTTAGTCTCCTTATAGTTGCTTCTAATCTCTTGTTATTGAGTACTGAATATACTGGTACTCATATAATTTCATGTATGTGTAAATATATCTGTAGGATAAATTCCTAGAAGTGGAAGTCCAAATTATATGTATATTTCAAATTCTTTTAGATGTATCAGTCCATTTACATTCTTCCCAACCATCAATAAAACTGTAAAAACCTAAAGTTATCCAATTACAATTTACTTAATAAGACCTAGTATTTGAAAGCATAACAGGGTGACAGTCAAAATAATAGAATCATACAGTTTTTTCTCCATCTTAGAATTTATACATTTTTAAATAACTGAAAGTATAATTGAATTGTTTGTAACACAAAGGATAAATGCTTAAGGGAACAGATAGCCGATTTTCATGATGTGATTATTATGCACTGTATGCCTGTATCAAAATATCTCATGTACCCCATAAATGTATATATATATTATATAGCCACAAAAATTAAAAATATTTCTTTTAAAAAACAATTTACTTGCCGGGGCATGGTGGCTCATGCCTGTAATCCCAGCACTTTGGGAGGCTGAGGCAGGTGGATCACCTGAGGTCGGGAGTTCAAGACCCACCTGACCAACATGGCAAAACTCTGTCTCCACTAAAAATACAAAATTAGTTGGGCATAGGTGGTACATGCCTGTAATCTCAGCTACTTGGGAGGCTGAGGCAGGAGAATCACTTGAACCCAGGAGGCAGAGGTTGCGATGAGCCCAGATCACGCCATTGCACTCCAGCCTGGACAGCAGGAGTGAAACCCCATCTCAAAAAAAAGAAAAAAAATTTTACTTAACATGTAGTTTTGTTTTTTTTCTGAACTCCCTATTCCCTCCTCCTATAAAATTGCAGAAATGAACAAAAACAGGTCTAAAAACATTTGTCAATTACAATGGCTAGGGGCTCCCTTTCCTGATCCTTTGGGCTACACCTGCGCTTGTTCCAGCTGGCCAACAAACCTTAAAGACCTGTGAAATGTAGAGACCTAAAGTGAGCTGCACCTAGGTATTATTAACAATTTTAAAGGAAGTAATTTTACCTTTAAAGTTATTTTTTAGGAAGAGTACAAGGGGAAGCTGGGTCTATGATAAGTAAAACTGAAGTATGAAAAGTTGTCTTTAGATGCCCTGGTTTGAGCATCCTAACACTTCAGGCATGCTACTATCTACCTACTCCTCTGTTTACCACCATCAAAAACTACCTATGAGAAGGTCATTTATTATCTCCCCGTGTAAGTTAAGGAATGCTTTGTCAGTAGATGGCATTTTAGCTTTTATAATTTTAAATGGAGTAGTGGAGAGTTTACAACCTTCACCAAGAAGTAGAAAAGAGGAATGGGGAAACAGGGAAGGGAGGGCCTTTCCCAGTCATTTCACCCAAGCATAAGATTGCCAGTGCTGAAAGTATCTTCTATATTTGTTAGAGAGAGAGAGAGAGAGAGAGAGAGAGAGAGAGAGAGAGAGAGAGAGAGAGAAACACACACGCCCTATTAAATGCACCTTAAAAATATAATCACTTGTATTTCATGCAGACCCTTAACTCACCAAAGGCACCATCCAGGTATATGAAGAGTTCAAAAACACTGAAAGCTATGGTTGTATGTGCTGGGAAAACAATAGCTTTGTCCCTTCCCTTGGGATTCTGTTCATCCATAAAGTGAAACTATATTGAATAAATGAATTACATTGTTAAGGATTATATCATGTAAGGATAGCCTTTTGGAGAAACAAACATCTCCTGTAATCCAAAAACAAAGCAAGAAATTCCCTAATAAAGAATTATTCTGCTTGAATTAAACCATTTTTTTTGGACAGTCTAAGCCTAACTGTTTATTTATTTTATTTTTTAATTTTTTATTGCATTTTAGGTTTTGGGGTACATGTGCAGAGCATGCAATACAGTTGCATAGGTACACACATGGCAGTGTGTTTTGAATTAAACCATTTTTTGTAGCAGAGATCCAATTGGTCCAACAGAAACTCCTAGTCTATATTAGAAAACACCTCTGCACTTTTTCACTTACAGTATTCCAGCCCATGATTAGTGCTACCACAACCATAATGCTCTGCAGTAGAAGCTTTTTTTTTGACAGCAGATCTTAGAAAGCAGTGCTAGAGTTAAAGTTTTCAGCCTAGCCTATCTACCAGTCCAAAGCCCCCGAAGAGCTTTTAGTTGCTTTCTAAAGCAATCGCCAACAATCAAGTAGATGTTTCAGTTTCTGCCTCAAAAATGATCCAGTTAATCAGAATTTGACAGGGAACTGAATATAGGTACTGAACATAACTTTTATTTGCAAAGACTTGAAAAGATTATCCTTGAATCCTATCTTTCTAACAATTGGTTTTAATCCAATCAGGTCATTATTAGGTGTCACTGAATGACAAAGATAAACATTATCATAATTGAGCTGAAAATTAAAAACAGATAACTTTCTAATTCTTTTTTCAGAGACAGGGTCTCTCTCTGTCACCCAAGCTGGAGTGCAGTGGCACAATTATAGCCTCTAATATTTTGTAAAGGATTTAACAAACCTTGAATAAAGCATGTTCGGCCACTGTTAATAATAACTTTAAAAAACTATTTGAATATAAAAATATAAATTCAGCTTTTAAAAATTCAGAGTGCAAAAACTCTATCACTAAAAAATAAAATCAATTCAACTTAAGCACTCAATTTTTGTTCTAAAAACAGCACTTAAATAGTAGTATGAGGGACTCCAATATGTACGTAATTTCACAAGGATTACTGTTTTTGCATTATGTTACTTTTTTTTTTTGAAACAGAGTCTTGCTCTATCACCCAAGTTGGAGTGCAGTGGCACAATCTCGGCTGACTGCAACCTCCACCTCCCCGGTTCAAGCCATTCTTGCGCCTCAGCTTCCTGAGTGGCTGGGATTACAGGGGTGCACCACCGCACCTGGCTAATTTTTGTATTTTTAGTAGAGATAGGGTTTCACTATGTTGCCCAAGTTGGGCTCGAACTCCTGATTGCAAGTGATCCGCCCGCCTCAGCCTCCCAAAATCCTAGGATTATAGGCGTAAGCCATTGTGCCCAGCCAAAAACTATAACACTTAAAAATAAAATCAAACAATTTAACTCAAACACTCAATTTTTTATTCTTAAAACAACACTTAAATAGTAATTTGACAGACTCCAGTATGCACATAATTTCACAAGCATTAGTGTTTTTGCATTATATTACATGTTTAGAATCCAAGTTTTTTTTTTCATATTCTAGAACAGACATTACTGTGCAAAATCCTATGCAACTACAGCTCTTTCATCAAAACATCTGACAAAATACAGGTCTGACTAGGAATTCAATACTTGTAAAAAATTCCCATGGCAACATTTTAGTTAGTAAGAGAAGGCCAATGAGTGTGGTTTACCCGCATTGCTTCTCCTCGAATTCCTGCATGCACAGACAGCGAGCACTGTCGTGTGGTTCGGATGCTCTCCATGACCACACACAATACTGCCTTTCTGCTGCTCCTTGACTGACGTATCAAGCTGTGATCAAAGTTAATTTTTCTAAAATAAAGAAGATACATCCACAAGACTCTATAACATCTAATTACATATAATCAAGTACATTTTTTGCTATCATGTGTTATTCATTCATAGTTCACCTAATAGTAAATCAAGACAAGCCTAATAGTCAGAAAATACACCCAAAAGAAATGTAATAATTTGTTTCTGCTTTCTATTTTCTTAAAACATGCTTATGTAGAATATGAGACTTTCAACTATCTGTTGAAAATCTGTTGAAGGAGACTCCATATTTGTTGCAGACAGACTCCTGTATTATTTCAATCTAATAATTTAGCAAATGTATGCAGAGCCAAAGTAATTTTGTGGAACAATTAAAAATTTTGTTTAAGCCAAATGATTTCTGATATCTATCCTTATTCAAAGTTTGAATATACCACTAATGTATTTCAAACATATCTAGCAAATTACAATAGTAAAATACAACTTCAATGTTTTAAACATTCTTTGTAATGAAGTTTATACAGCTAAAGTATTTAATGAAAACACTGAAACATATTAGGATTATTATACTGACCGTGTAGTAATTTCTTTGAGTAATGTTGATACTTCCACTTCATGTTTGGTTACTATACCAAATGAAGCTTTCACTGCAATGGAATCTGATCCAGTAATGTTAATCCCAACGTCATTTACAATATGGTTTCCTCGCCTTCCGTAGAGCGAAACATCCGATTCATCTTCATAATTCAGTAATTGATAAGATGAAATACCTTTACAAAAAGAAACTTAGTATTTTTAAAATGTCTTTATCTCATGTAGATTACATATAGTAACATGTTAATTCACAATTGAAGACTCAATTACACAAATGTTAGAGAAAGCCAACATGACTCACCAAGATTTAAAATAGTAATTCAACTAATCTTACAACAAAAAGAAACACATAGCCAGAAATCTTAAAAGGAACTCAAATTTTCTGTTCATCCAACAGAACTTACTAAGTATCAAGATCCACTGGGTGATTAAAAGAAAAAATAAGTATAAGCAGGAACTGATTAAAATATCAATTTATTATATAATCTACCCTTCAAATACATTTCAGTTTACCAATTATAATAGTTGAATTGTAAAAAATAAATACAAATTACTTTCATCTCATTTGACCATATAAGATAGGTAAGCCCAATAATATCCCATTTTATAGATGAAGAAATATGCCATATTCTACGTTGACTTGGTTAAAACAATTTATAAAATAATTGATAGATTTGAAAATTATTTGACCAATAAGAGATTTCATATTATATAAGCTTTTGGCATTGTCGATCTTAATAATGTTACTACTACCATCACAATAAAAGTTGCTTTAATCATTGAGAATGTGTATTACTAATGTAAGTAGGATATATAACCTATGTTTAGCTTACCAGTAATACCAACGACTCAGTTGTCACTCTGAAACATTTAAACTTACCAGCTGAAATTTCTCTGTCTCCTAAGAGAATATCTTTCAGTGTAAAAGGTGTTGAAGTAAATTTATACCTAGGAAACAGAAAGCATCGCTTCTTTTTTACCACCAGACTTAGAGGTTGATATTTGTCAGCTTCACTGAGGCTTGGAACAGGAACTAATCTCCCTCCATCTCCAACTTGCTTGACAAAGCTCTTGGTAGCAGCAGCAAACATATTAATATCAAAACGTCATCAACTGCAACCCCCAGATAAATCCATTTTCAAAGAGGAAAATCAGGCACAAAATTAAGCATTGCTTGTTTTTAAATATAATTATACACCTTATAAATACAAAGCTTGGTTTCACCAAGTAGTTTACTACTGTATAATTCACTGCCTCCACTCATGTGCTCAGGTAATGAATTATAGATCAACGGTGTAAAATGATATGCTAAGAGCACGTTTAATTTGGAATGGCAGGCTATAGCACTAAAATATACAGAGAAAATTAATAACATAAAAATATGACTAAAGTCTATAAGGATCACAGTAAATAGTGATTTGCCACTGCAGTGGACCAATTTTAAGGGAAGCATATAGCCCTGTGGGAAGCAACGCGATTTAGGCACTAACGATAGTCCCGGATACCATCTACAGTGGACCTAGTCCAAAGGGAATCCCTTCACAAGTCCACCACTAGAATTTTGGCAACACAAAAGTGCTGATTTGAATCCTCACGGCATACAGTTCACTGAGCATTTCATTCACCTTCCATCTTACATGTTTATAAAACTATTTAATATTAAATATGAATTCAGACTATAGAGAAACAATTATATGCAGATCTTTATTTTAAAAACAAAGTCACATTACATATAAGTAACTATATAAACTATTACCTAGTGGTTTCTTATTCTGAAGTTTGGCACACAGACTCTGTTTCTTTGAAATGGAGTCCTGCTGTATCTTTTTATTTCACCATTATTATCCCAGTTACTCAACCTTTAACAAGAGCTATTTAAAGTTTTCGCCTGTTTTTAAGTGATTTTGTGACTAAAAATGAATTTTACCCAAGTGCTGAAATGTTTTGCCATAGGTGTTATGCATACGTTAATATATTTTGAAATGGTGACTGCGTAGCCCTTCCAATAAGATACTCATTAAAACAGTGACGGATAGTAATCTCTATTCATACTCTAATTAAAGCATCAAACGATATCATTTGATTAGATCCTGAACATCTTTCACTTGCTTTCAAACATCCAGGGCTCACATGCTAACAAAATAATAAATGACTTCTTTTTTTGAGACAGAGTCTTCCGCTGTTGCCCAGGCTGGAGTGCAGTGGTGCGATCTCCACTCATTGCAACATACGCCTCCCGGGTTTAAGCGATTCTCCTGCCTCAGCCTCCCAAGTAACTGGGATTACAGGTGCACACCACCAGTCCCAACTAATTTTTGCACTTTTAGTAGAGACAGGGTTTCACCTGTTGGCCAGGCTGGTCTAGAACAAATGACCTCAAGCGATCCACCCGCCTAGGCCTCCCAAGTGCTGAGATTACAGGTGAGCCACCTCGCCCCGCCATAGATCACTTTTAATAACATCCTTTCGAATGGATAGCTTGTACAAAGCAATCGTCCAGAACAACGAGTAAGCACAGGGGGGCATTTCTGCAAATGTCTAGCAAGCCCCTGGAAAAGAGACACAACATCTAATGGCCCACCAAAGGTGCTGCATCCCAGGCAAACGCCATTACAACACAGGGCCAGAGAAAGGCCTTCGTTTATATGCACTGATCAGCGTTCCATCTCGCAGCGGAAGCCCAGAAGACAAAGGAGCCCGCCTGGCGGGAGAGGAAAGGTCTCTGGACGTCTCCGCGTGTTCCTAAACACAGGGCTCGGGGATCCGGAGAGCCCACCGCAGCCCCCTGGAGCAGATATATCCGGGGTCTCAAGCTTCGGGACCAGGCCCGGGGAGTCTCCTAGCAATTCTGCCTTCGTTATTTTGAAATCGTTTTCTTAAAGTGACCCAGTCCCCAATCCGTCCTTCCCACAAAGGCTTAACTTCAGGCCTCAAACACCCTAGACCCACGCCGGACAATTCCTCTCTCCGGGCAAGGCTTCCTGCTAAGGACAAAGAACTGAGGCCTTACTGCTGGCTGGCCGGCGCCGGCAGGGGCGGACGCAGAGAAGCCCCGGGAGCCTAAAGGCCGGAGCCCAGAGGGGCGGAGCCGGGCGGGGAGGGGACGGACCTTGGAGGGGACGGACCTTGGAGGGGACAGGGGCGGGTCTGGGCCGGGACCGAGGCTCGGAGCTGGACAGCGAGGGGGCGTAGCCGGAGCTACGGCACCAAGGCTCCGCCCCCGCCCCGCCCGCCCCCTCGCCGGAGGAACGCAGGCAGGAGCAGGGGGAGCTAGAGGAGGCGACGGCGCTAGAACTCCTCCTGGGGACGGGGAGCAAGCACGTTGCTCGGCACCGCTCTTCTCCCGCCGCTGAGCCGTCCTTTCTCGCCATGTCCCAGAGCAGGCACCGCGCCGAGGCCCCGCCGCTGGAGCGCGAGGACAGCGGAACCTTCAGGTCAGCGTGCGGGTAGTCGAGGCCCCAGGGCCGGGAGCGTCGGGAGGCGGGGCCGGGGCGCGGGGAGCCGGCCCTCCAGCTGCATTCTGGGTAAAGCCCCTGCCCGGCAGCCCAACTTCCGAGGCTGCGGGCGCTCGGCCCCGCCCTCTCGGCGGCGCGGTTTGGGGTCCGCGGCCGAGACCCGCCCCTTTCTTGGCCCACGGCGGTGCGCGGGCTTGCGAAGGTGGTGCGCGGTCGCCGCGCCCGGGAAAGGCTTTTACGATTGGTCCTAAGGCTGCGGCGCTGCTGCCAGCCCTGTTCTGTTGAGAATCTCTTACCCGCATTCAAGTTATTTCTCTAAAGACCTCGCTCACCCCGCCTGCCCCAGCGGGGTGACTGCCGCAGCGGGGCCGGAAGACAGGTGCGCCCCAGCCTCGCCAGCTCTGGCCCTGGCCGCCGGGAAACTCCGCGCCTCCAGCGTCATCGTCGGTGGCGGTCAAAACTGGCCTCTGCACGCTTCTGCTTTAATCTCCAATTTGGCATGCAAAGCACACCTTTTTCTGGTTTTTGCAGTTTGGGGAAGATGATAACAGCTAAGCCAGGGAAAACACCGATTCAGGTATTACACGAATACGGCATGAAGACCAAGAACATCCCGGTTTATGAATGTGAAAGATCTGATGTGCAAATACACGTACCCACTTTCACCTTCAGAGTAACCGTTGGTGACATAACCTGCACAGGTCTGTATACACAGTTAACATGGATGACCGAGTGGGTTGGCATTCAAGATTTGGTGTTGCTTTTCAATTCAGAAAAGTGCTCTTTTTACCAGACAGCTCTAAGGAACAGGCTCTGAAACAGACTTCTCATCTCAGGTCGCTAGGACTTCCCATCCTCATCTAATTCTATTCCCAATTAATTTTCTCTTCCCCAGATACCAAAGAAGCTCAGAAACTAAAAAGTTACCCAGCCATCCTGCACAGCTCCTCTCATACCCTAGGATCCTTCTAGGGTTCCTCTAAGAATTAGAGAGAAGCAGGAAAGGTTCGGAGCAGCCATAGCTGGGCCAGTAGGTACTGTGAAGTTTCACAGATTATAGCAGATGCCAGCAGGCATGACCCCAGAATTTTCATTTGTACTTTAGGTCCATTGTACCAGTCTTGATTCTGTATCCAAGCAAAATGAGGAAGGGCAGAAAGAAGATCCTCATATATTATATTGTATAATAACTTCTAGTTTTTGAAACTGAACAGATATTTTGTATATTATCCACTTTTACACAAGAAGATACAGGTTCAGAGTGATTTTAAGTAACATGCCTATAGCAATGAAGTCACATAGCAATGAAGTTTCAAAGTTCATGCCTTCTTTTGGTCTGTGAGCTTGAGCAAATAACTGAAGTTGCTCATTTGTAAATGTGGACATTATTTTTCTTACGTATCTATTTAATTGCAAACACAAAACACTGGATGCTAAATTTAATTTGGAAGAATGCCAAAAAAAAAATTTAGTCGGAAGGCTCAAGTTCTACCATCTGGTAAATCTGAAGGCAGCATTTGTTTGTGTCCCTGGAAGTTTAGAGTCCTTTATTTTAATTGATGCCACTTTAAGAAAAGTTTAAAACTTTTTGTGTGAGGCAGTTACATTGTAGGTGCTGGCCGGAAGGGTCCCTATGGGAACCAGAGTCAACACTGCATTACTTCTTTAGCTAGTCTATTTCTAGATAAACGGGAAGAATTCAAGAAAAAGGAGGCTTTTTTCCCCTCAATGTGTTTTAGACCCCAGACTGACAGCCTATGGCAACTGTTTTGCTTATGCCCTCTTCTCACACTACCATGGCTTCCTGGGCAAGCTTATCTGCCTCCATTGCTTCCAATACTATCCAAAGGCTGATAATTCTGAAATATCTATCTTCATCCCAAGCCCAGTTACAGAACAGTGTATCTGTCTATGCTTGTCGAGCATCTTTGCTTGGATTACACAGAAGCCCCTCAAGCCTCTCATTGTCCCAAACTGAATTCATCTTTTCCCTCAAACCCATTCTCCCTGCATTTCCTTTCTCTGTAAAGTCTCCATAATCAACTAGTTCAGTAGAAATGTGGGTTTGTCTTCCTAACTACGTCCCATCTCTCTTTCTGTTGTCCAGTCTGTCATTAAACTCCATCTCCTAAATATCCATTGCATCTATCTGCTTCTCTCTTCTGGCCATTGCTACTGCCTAGGCCACTGTCATCTCTCACTTGGATTGTAGCTGCAGTCCTATAGCTGTACATTTATCTTCTAGTCTCGTGATGTCCTTTTGTCACATGAGAACCAGTATTCTTTTTTTTTTTTGAGACAAGTTGGTCTTGCTTTTTTTTTTCGAGACAAGGTCTTGCTCTGTCACCCAGGCTGGAGTACAGTGGCGTGAGCATAGCTCACTGCAGCCTCAGTGTCCTGGACTAGAGCAATCCTCCTGCCTCAGCCTCCTGAGTAGCTGGGACTACAGGTGCACATCACCATGCCCAGCTAATGTTTCTGATTTTTAGTAGAGACAAGGTCTCACTGCATTGCCAGGCTGGTCTTGAACTTTTGGCATCAAGCAATCTTCCCACCTCAGCCTCTATTAGTGTTGGGATTACAGGTGTGAGCCACCTCATCCAGCCCTAACAACCAGTGTACTTTCTAGCATTCAGATGTCTTCCTCATCTCAAAATCCATTCAGTGGTTTCCCCATAACCCTCTGGATAAATACATGTTGTTTGTTTGATTATTTGTTTGTTTGTTTCTCAGACAGAGTTTCACTTTTACACCCAGGCTGGAAAGAAGTGGCACAATCGTGGCTCACTGCAACCTGCATCTCCCGGGTTCAAGCGATTCTCCTACCTCAGCCTCCCGAGTAGCTGGGATTACAGGCGTGTGCCACCTTGCCTGGCTGATTTTTGTGTTTTTAGTAGAGATGGGGTTTTGCCATGTTGGCCAGGCTGGTCTCTAATTCTTGACCTCAGGCATTCCACCCACCTCGACCTCCCAAGGTGCTAGGATTACAGGTGTGAGCCACCGTGCCTGGCCTATTGCACATTTCTTAACATGACTTACAGCGTTGCTTCTTACACTTTAAAAAAGCTCTTACACTTTAGCCAAAGCCAACTAGTTGGGATTCTTGAGAACACTGTACTGTATGTTGCCTTTGAGCCTTTGCAGGTGCCCTTTCTCTACCTAGAATGCTCTTTCTAATACCCCATCTCTCTTCTCTTTATTAGCTGTTACTCATCATTTAGGTTTCCATTTAGTTATCTCTTTCTTCATGAAACCTTTCTGAATCCTGACCAAGAGTAAAAGAGCTGCTGCTTT